CGTCGGACGGGCGGACGGGCCGGGTCGGGAACGCCGACCACCGGCCACCCGCCCTCCCCCCCCCCCCCCCCCCACCCCTGCTCCGGCCTGCTGGGCTGCCCGGCCCTCAGGCTGGCCCGCACCTGGCCACGCCTTCCGACCGATTTTCCCTCCTACCGGTAGCTGGGCTGCGTGCTGGCCTGTGGCCTCTCTGTCGTGTCGCTGTTCAAAACGGAGCAGCGGGGCGGGCGCAGGCGCGCAGCACCGTCAACTCGAGGCCCAACCAACACTTCAACACCTGCTGGCGTTGGCTTGCGGGCGTCGTAAACTAAAAACGCCCATCGCATGGCCCTTTTTCCCTACCCTGGCCTTCTTGGCCCGGCTGCCTCGACTGGGCCGCCTCGTAGCTCGTTAACTTAGCTCGCGCTGAGCTCTCACCATGTACGATCCTGGTCGCGGCACGCCTCACGCCCTCGACTCAAAGCCATCACGCACCGACCCTCGATCGAGCCAACACGGCGCACGCCACGCCAGCCCCGTGGACGCTTTCCGTACGCCAAGGAGGGGGATGGCCCAACCGATGATCGTCGTCCTCAAAAGCATGGATGGTGACATGCAGCGGTCTTGACGAGGGCCGTACGTCGGACGGCGTCCTCTGTCTCTCATGCCGACAGCCTGACCTGCTCCCATGCTGGCCATGTCGACGACGAGCCCACATTTGAGCTGCGCCACCCATCCCCGGCGCACCTCCACCCCTAAGCTTGGAATTCGCCGAGAGAGAGAGAGAGCCAGGAGCGGCCTGCGCACGGAGCCACATCAATGGCGCAGTTCGTCCGGCCGGTGGAATCGAGCCGGCTTGCTTGCCCTCGATCCCTCCTTCGCACCACCACCACCACACAACATCAGCATTGCTTTGACCCCCTATCTGCTATACGCTGGCCGACACCCCCTCATCCCTTCTCTGCACAGCCGACAAGATGGTCTACACGCTTAGTACGTCTTCCCAACCTCTTCCACCTCCACGCATACCGCTCGCTCTCCCGCTGACCACTCGCACCATCTCGTCCGCCGCCGCCGCCGCCGCTGCCGCCGCCGTGCCGGCAGTCTGCCACGTCGAGGTCAAGCCAGGGTTCGAGCAGAACATGGCCGACTTTCTGCGCAAGGCGGCGGAAATCTACAAAAAGACGCCAGAGACCATCGACTGGCTCGTGCACCAGTCCGAGTCGGACGACAAGAAGTTTGCCATCGTCGAGCGCTTCGAGACCGAGGCGTCGCAGGAGTACCACCTCGCCGAACCCTTCTGGGCCGTGAGTGACGCCCCTCTCCTCCCTCTTCCCCTGTCCTCTGTCGCTGCGCCCGACCGAGCTGGCTGGATCGCTCATGCTGATCCATGTCATCGACGACTGCTTCTCCCATCTCGCATCGATTGCACTGTCCAGACTTTTAACCCCACCGTCGAGGTGAGTCCAAGTTTAGCAGCTCCCTTTCGGTCAACATTCATGCAGACGGCCGCTGACCTCTTCTCGTCAACTCCCTTCCTTCGACAACGTCCAGCCCTGGCTGGCCAAGCCCATCGAGATCCTCCGCTTCAACGAGCTCTGAGCATCGGCCGGATCCTTTCTTCCGACTAGAGCCGAGCCAAAACGCAGATAATATGCCCCGTATCCAATGAGCAGAATGGTATACGTTCGAGCACCTTCTATGATCGAGAGCGGTGGTGAAAGTGATGGTCCGGCGAATCCCGGAAACGCTCCGTCTACGCCATGCGCCTTCAGGTGAAGTAAGCCGCAAACGGATACTCGGCCCTGGCCCTGCCCTGCTTGGACCCCCACCCGCTGCCGTTGTGGTTGCGGATCTGCTCGGCCAGCTTGCCGTCCTCAAAGGCGTGGGCGATACCGCTCGGGTCCATCGACGAGGCGATAATCATGCGCAGCGCCGCCTTGGCCGCCTTGTGCGCCACATCGTCGGCGAGCACCGACAGCGTGCTGGCCACCGAGCGCGGCAGGATCGAGAGCTGCGGCTCGTCGCCCTTGCGGTTCATGTCCTGCACCTTTTTCCAGAACGGCTTGTCCTCTGGGAACCGCACCAGCCGCAGGTCGGCGGCCACGGCCAGCGTGCCGTCCTCGGACACGGAGCGATTGGCTCCCGGTCGCACCCGCTCCGTGGCCTGCTCGAGCGTCAGGTTCTCCTTGGTCACCAGCTCGTCAATCTCTCGCTGGAGACCCAGCGTCATGGCATAGTAGGCGCTGTCCCAGATGCCGCCGATGCTGTCCACCAGGCCCCGGCCGTACGGGCTGCCCTTGGCCTCGGTGCCATCCGAGGCGGTAGAAGCGACGCCGGCGGTGCGGATCTCGTCGGCCACGTCGTCGTCGCCGTCGTCGCCGCCGGGAGCCTTCTTTTCCGGAGTACCGCCGGCCTTGGAGGCAGAGGGATCGACATTGTCGGATGGTGGCCCGCCCGATTTGCCAAGTGCCGACCGGCTCTCTTCGGCGGCAGCGTGCGCGGCGACCGCGAGCTTGGCCTCGGCCTCTTCGAGGCGCTGCTTCATCTTCTGCTTGATCGACTCGGCGGTCTCGGCCGTCTTTTCCGCCACCTCCTCGATCGCCGAGCCTTCTGATGCCGGCGGCACCGTCGCGGTGGTAGTCGACACGGGAACCGCCTCGTCGCCGTCTGCCGTCGTGGCAGCAGCAGGCGCAGGCGCAGGAGCCGAAACGTCCTTTGCATCCTTGCCCTCCTCGTCCGGCGAGGAGACCGCCGCCGCAGCTGCAGCCTCTGCACGCGCAATCACTTCGGATGCGGTCGCGACGGCCTTGCGCACGAAGCCGTCCTCGGCGTCGTCCCCGCTCGCGCCGACGCGCTCGATGAGCACCGTGTTGTTGCCACCGGGCACCGTCGCGTCCCTCGTCCGCCACTCGGAAGTGAGGCTGACGGCCTTGACCTTCTTGACGTCCGCCTTGGTAGCCTTCTTGGACGGGCCAGCCAGGACCGCGCTCGACTTGGTGCCGTCGGCGACGGCGCCGCTGGCCTCGCTGCCCGCCTGCAGCACGTCCTTGGCAGAGATGTCCCGCACATCGACCTGCTCCAGCTCGGCTTCCGGGTTGCAGCGCGTCCAGGCGGTGAGGCCCGTCATGACCCTGCCTCCGGCAAGGCTCTCGATGACGTCGCGCGAGATGCCGCGGCCGTCGCACACCTTTGTGAGGAAGTCGTCGTACATCTCGTCAATGTGCCGGCTCTGCTTGGCGCGCTGCTGGTCGTCCATGTCGTGCAGGGTGGAGCTCGATGTGGAGCCGGTGAAGAACGACTGGATGCCGACGTGGAAGCGGTCGAAGAAGGCGCGCGTGATGGTCGGGCGGAGCGAGGCGACGCCGATGCTGCCGGTCACGGTGTTCTCGCACGCCAGGATGGCGTCGGCGGCACTGGCAGCGTAGTAGCCGCCGCTGGCCGAGGCGTTGCCGAACGACGCAACGACGGGCTTGCCGTAGTCTTCGCGCACGCGGCGGACGGCATCCCAGATCGACTCGCTGGCCACGACGTCGCCGCCGCCCGAGTCGATGCGCAGCACGATGCTCTTGATGTCGTCGTCCTCGGCCGCCTCCTTGAGACCTTTGATCACCGACGACGCCGAGTACTCGCCGGGCGCGTTGCTGATGGTGCCGAGCAGGTAGACGACGCCCACCTCGATGATCTCGTCGTCCTTGAGGTGGCGGTCGAGGTGGCGGTTGTTGACCTTGTTGTAATGGTGGAGCGACTTGAACTTGGTCTCCTCGATGCCGCCGTGCTTTGGGTCAACGAGCCGCTTGACCAGGTCGCGCTTGAAGGCGATGCCGTTGATGAGGCCCAGCTTGGCCGCCTCGCGGCTGGAAAAGGGACCCTCCTTGGCCCACAGCTCGAGCTGGTCGGCCATCTCGGACGGGTCGGCCTCGGGGAAGCGGTTGACGCCGATGGCGTGCATCAGGCCGCGGTTCAGCTCGCCCAGCATCTCGGCCTCGTTTTGCGCCTGGGCCGGCGGCAGCTCCTCGTCCTGGTTGAAGGTCGAGATCATCGACTTGTACTCGCGCCTCGCCTCGGCGTGCACCTTGACCCCGAAGTACGCGAGCAGCTTCTTGAAGAAGGGGATCTGAGCTCCGAGGCCAGTCAGCGGCACAGTGCCCGTTGGCTGCAGCCAGACCTCGTCAAAGGCCGAGGCGAGGAGATAGGCGCCCTGACTGTCAAAGGTGTCGGCCCAGGCGATGCTCGGCCGCGCCTTTTCGCCAAACTGGTCGCGCTTGGCCATCTTGAACTCGTGGATCGACTGGACCAGCTCCTCGATCTGAGCCAGTCCGAGCCGGTTGGGCGTTACCGACGACGGCAGGTGGAGCCCGCTAAAGTCGGCAAAGATGCCCTTGATCCGCTCGTCGCCCTGGGCCCACTTGAGCGCGCGGATAGCCTCAAACAGCTCTAGCACCCTGGGGGCCTCTTCGCCGGCGGCGGGCGCGTTGAGGAGCGCACCGAGCGTCGGCGGGCCTCTGGACTCGACGATGGAGCCATCGTGGATCTTCCAGACGAGATAGGTCTCTGGGTGGATGTAGTCGCGGAGGTAGGCGTCTCGCTTGAGCTTGAGGTAGCCCACGCCCGTGTAGACGGCAAAGAAGCCAAAGAAGATGGAGCGTCGATACTTCCAGAAGCCCTGACCCGCCCTGCCTGCTCGCGAGCCGCCGATGCGGGTGGCGGTGGCAGCCAGGCGTGGGAAGCGCCGGGAGAGGACGCTGGAGCTCTGAGCGGCCGTCGTGGATGACGAGGGGCCGTTGGACGCGCCGCCGTTTGTCGTCGTCGCTGCCGTCGGCGGTGGCGCGGCAGCAGCATTCGTCGGCGGATTCTGCGATGCTGTTTGAGAGGGTTGGGGCGCCTTCGGTGGAGGCTCGCTGGGAGACGACATCCTCTTGAGCGGCTCGCGGGTATCCGGGGAGCAAGGCGGAGTGGGAGGCGGCTGAGGAAGAGGGAGACGACGGGGTTAGGGGAGATGGCCTTGCAAGACAAGCCCGACGAAGGCTGTGCGAGAGTGTGTGGGCGCAGCGTGTAGGCTGGCTGGGCAGTCGAGGTCGGACGAGGGTCGTGGCAGGTGAGAAGAAGAAGCAAGGACGGACCAGCAGCGAGCGAGCGAGCCAACAAGGCTCGAGGATGTGGAGCAGGCTTCCGGCCGCCGTGCCGGAGCCGAGGCTGACGCGGCCAGCCTAGCTTAGCCTGGCGCCCTTGCTTGGCCAAGCACCGCCTGTCGTCTCGGGACTCGGCGGTCCGCCCTTTGAGTCTTCGACCCTGGCTGGATCGGAAGGTCGAGGAAGAAGCCGGATCGAGCGGCCGCGCTCAGTCATCCAGCCCCGTCCCTCGTAGCCTAGCCTCAGCTTGCCGCTCAGCGGTGGCGGCGACGACGACGACGGCGGCCACGGACAGCCTCTCCAGGTGACGAGGATCGTCGTCTCACGTTATTGACCCCACCTCGACTGGCCATGCATGTCATCCGTACGTCCATGATGGCGTAGGCCGGTGCGAGCGCTGATCCGCAGCCCAGAGAGCAGCCAAGAGGTTGACGTAGGCAGGCAGGCAGGCAGGCAGGCAGGCAGGCCCGTCTCTGCCCGGCCCGCGCTGGATGGAAGATCGCGGGCTGCTCCACTTTTTTCCCGGGCCTGGGCTCTCGTCGTCGGCGTTTACCCTGGCGTCGTCGTGCCTCGCTCATGCCTCCTTCTTCTCACCACTGTCCGCCACCCATCTATAACTAGCCACCAAGGCCCGCACTATCACCATCGCCCTCTCGTATCGATCCCCTACCTGCATCCCTTCCCTCGTACCGCCCAAAGGCTCGCTCCTCGCCATGTCTGCCCCCAACGCCGCCAGGGTACTGCGCACCAGCGCCACCCGCTCCCTCCGCACCAACGCTTCCTCGGCCTCCCGGCCCCGCACCATGGCCACCCGATCCGGCGGCGCATCCGCGGCCTCGGAGAGCTCCTTTGGATGGTCCAGCAGGGTCGTGGCAGCTAGCACGCTCGCCAGTGCCTTTGCCACCGCCTACTACATGCGAGCCAACGCAACGCCCATCATGCTCGAACCCAGGCCATCCTTTTCCGACAGGCTCAAGGCAAAGAAGAGCAGCGGAGACGACAAGGGCGCCAAGGATGTCAAGGAGACCAAGCCGGCAGGTGGGTATGCGGCAGGCAAGGCTCGATGCCGTGCCGCGGCGGATGCTGACCCTCTCGAGACCTCTGATCGCTCGTGCCTGCTCACAGAACCTGAACCTGCCAAGGAGACGCCCGACGCCATCGAGGTGGCCGCCGAGGAGGTGACGGAGCAGGGCGAACAGCAGTCGGCCTACGACCCGGAAACGGGCGAGATCAACTGGGACTGCCCCTGCCTCGGCGGCATGGCCCACGGACCGTGCGGCGAGCAGTTCAAGGCCGCCTTTTCGTGCTTTGTCTACTCGGAAGAGGAGCCCAAGGGCATCAACTGCGTCGACAAGTTCAAGGCCATGCAGGACTGCTTCAGGGAGTATCCGGAGATCTACAAGGACGAGATCGACGACGACGAGGCAGCGTCCCAGGAGGCCGAGGGCGGCGACGGCAAGGGCGCGTCCAAGGACGACAAGAAGAGCGACGACGGCGGCAAGGACGACGAGCCCAAGCGCGAGAGGAATGCGGCGCTCGGCGGCGAGAAGAAGGAGGGCGGACCGGCACGATCGGGCACCGCCACCACCGACGTCGACAACCGCGGCGGTCCCAACCCGGACAAGATCGAGAAGGACGACCCGGAGAGGAGGAAGAGGGAGCACGACGTGTTCGCCAACCGCGCCGGCTCCGGAGCCACGCCGCGAGGATGAGCGGTGGCAAGAAGAGGATGGATGACGAGAGGATCGCGGCACGGCTGCGCAGCGCTTGCATTGGTGCGCTGACAGCTTACCAGAGGCGATGCGACGACGGCTCCGTCTGTGCCATGCCATCGGTGCTGGTCGGCGGCGAACCGAGCCGGCAGTGTCGCCGACGTCCCCTCACACTGTACTCTGCAATATTACATGCTCCCGGCCACCACCATTCCCTGCATTCAATCCATGTGCCCAAATGCGGTGTCGTCGAGAGGTCAGCGGTAGTCAGCGGTAGTGTTCTGCTGTGACGACGAAAGCCGGTCGGCGAGGGATTGAGAGGGGCATATCGGCTGGGTCGGCTGGCCCTGCCGAATAGACGGTCACGACACCGCCGTCGCTGGCCCGTCGCGTGCGGCGCGATCTTCTGCTGCCGCTGCTGCTGCAAAAGAAGCGAAGAAAAGGGGTTTGCAGGGTGAGGGCCGTCAGCGAGACCAACACTACTCCAACACCTGCAGCATCAAGCCCGTGCGAAAAACGGCGCAATGCTCCTCAGTAGTCTGTCCTACCTCCTGCCATGCGTCGTGTTGATTGCCCCTGCCTCCCCTTTGGCGCGTTCTAGCGTTCTCTCTGTGGGCTCAATACATACCTGCATGGCACGGGCCGTGACGGCGCCCCGCCGGCCTGGGCCGTCCGCGTTACCGCGCGGGGCGCAGCATCGATCCGGGCCATGCCGTACCGCTCTGGCGCTTTCTGCGGCCTTCCCTGCCCCCACCAAGCGGTGCGCTGCATCCGGCCTCCAATCTTGTGCAACCTTATGGCCGTGCACGACATGAGGTGGGCCGATAGGTCGAGAAGTGGGGGCGGAAGACAAGCTGCTGGCGCTGCTGTCAGCTGGGCCAGCCGTCGCCCATCGCGGGATGTGATATAGCGCGACCGCCACGTCCCCTTCGCCATTCGCCGTCCCATTCCTGCCGTCCGCCACGAACGCCTGCTCCATCTTTGAGCAAGAGAGGGCCATAGGTAGAACGCCGATCCGACCAGGTCGACGTGGCGCCAAGACAGGGACGAAGCGACCGAGTGGAACACATCCGGCCGGCCCAGCGCCTGGCTGACGACGACGCGGACCATGGCGCAGAGTGCTGCCTCCACCGAGACCGACACCTCGTTCACTGCCGCTCTAACGACCACCATCACCGCCACCACCGCCTCCCCAGCCCCAGCTTTAAGTGCAGAAGGACAAGGACGAACCGACTTTCTTCCCCTCTTTGCCACTTCCTACGACACCGAAGCGGGCCCTCCGACCTCGCTGCCCCTGACTGCCCCCTCGCACGCTTCTCTTCTCGACTTTGGCACCGCCTCGACCACCGACTCAGACCTCACTGACCAGACTTCTGACCTCGGCTTGTCCGACGCAGGGTCGAGTCTCTCCTGCTCCATCGCCAAAGAGGCCGTTGACGACGAAGCGGCCTCCCTCCTTTCCTCGGCTGACTCCGTCGCCGCAACTGCTGCCGCTACCGAGAATCCCCACACTGCCCCAGAGCCGTCAGACTCGCTCGACGAGGCAGCCTCACAGGACCACTCCGATACCGACTCGGCCTTCGACGACGGCGAAGAGACTGTCACCATGAACAAGGGCGACGAGGTCGACGCCGCGTCCACCGTGGCCGGCCCAACCGAAGACGGCAACATGTCGATGCACAGCGCCAATGAGGACGCCAAGTCGGCCAGCGCCGTCTCGATGAGCCCCGGCGCCGACGCCGATGACGACGATGACGATGACGACGACGAGGAGTCGGCGGCCGACTTCACCGAGTTCTTTGTCGGCAACTCTTCAATCGCCGACCCGCTCAAGTACATTGCCATGTCGTTTGAGGACAAGTGCCGCGAGCTCAAGACCATCACCAAGAGCCACGACAAGCACGTCGGGCTGGTCGCCTCGTTGACCGAGGAAAAGGAGCAGCTACAAGAGGCCCTGTCCGAGAGCCTCTCGACGCGAGCCAACCTCGAGGAGCAGGTGCAGCAGCTCACGTCGGAGCTGGCGGCGCTGCGCGAGGAGCTGGGCCACAAGGACCAGCTGCTGGCCACATCGGACAAGATCAGCACCAGCCTGTTTGGCGTCCTCATGGCCGCCAAGTCGACGCTCGACTCGGCAGGCAGCCTGGCGCCGGCGATGCGCTCCATGTCGTCCGCCTACGCGCCCTCTGCGGCGGCCACCGACGACGACGACGACGACGACAGCGACGTCGACGACGAAGGAGCCTCGGACGAAGACGACGACGACGACGATGCCCAGACCGCCGACACGGACCACGAGGGCGCAGACGGCGTCGCCAAGAGCGATTCCGGCAAGGCCGCAGGCGCCGTTGACGACGCAAAGAGGGCTGCGGCGGCCGGACCCGGGAGTCCTCGCCACGCCGTCGTCTGAGCGCAGCAGCGCCCATGCCGTCCTCCTCCAGCATCCCGCCCCCGCACCCCTGGCGGGAGGGGATGCCGCCTCGAGATCTGAGATCGTCCAGAGCGAGCTGGCGACTGCGGCCACCGCTACGCCCAGTCGGGCAGACGCCGCCGCTGTCTGCTTCTACGGGCGTCAAGCCAAACACCGTCATCTAGGCTCCACCAGCAACAGCAGCCCGGCAGCATGTCCAGTTCGCTTCCCACGACCCTCAGCATCTCCGTCGCCGTCCCTCCAAGATGCGACGATCTCCCCGTCGCCTATGCCAGTGTCGAAGCTCTTCGCTCATCGCCCCAGGCCCATACCGATCGCGATTCCTGATCGCCACCACCATCCTCGCCACCCCATCGCAGTCTAGCCTCGAGCCTCCCGGCCCATCAGGGGCTCGACCTTGCGCTCGTCCGTCCGAAAAGCATCCCATCCCCATCCATTGATTCTCGCAGTCTCTCCCCCTTCATCCCGCCAGCAGATAGATACCTTTGCCTCGCCATCCTTTTCTCCTCGCATGCGACCACCTGATCCCCACTTTTCCGCCGCCGTCCCTGATGCCTTCACTTTCAATGTCACCGAATTGCGATCCGAGCGAGGCGTGATTCCGGCAAAGTCGAGGTGCGAAGCGCTGTAGCTGGGGCTGGGGCTGGTGGCAAGCCCTAAAGGACGATGGGAAGGTGGCAGCGGTCTGCAGGTGGTGGTGGTGAGGGGGCTGGTGGCCGGTCGTGGGCGGCCGCTGGCAGAGGCATCTGGCGGGCCACTCTGAAAATAAAGGGTCCGCGGCGCGCGCTCGAGCCTCTCACACAGCGGCGCAGCCCCCACCTGCTCCACACCAACGCCGCCTTCTCGCGGTCCCTCTCTCCTCTTCTCTCTCTCTCGATATTTCCCTCTGCCTTGCTCGGCGGCCGTCTGTCCGCCTCTGCCCCGACGCTGCTCGTCCACCTCGACACCATCTGCTCGAACTACAGCCCTGCTTTCTGCTTCCGTCGCGACAGGCTCTGCCGGCCATACGGCGCGCGACGAGACCCGACGAGCGTAGGGGCATGGCGCTTTGGATCGCGTGGCCCCCATAACTTCGAGGATAGACTCGAGTCCACCGCTCTACGGCATCCGCAAGCAGTCGCACTCCCGACTCGAGGCCATCACGTCCGCCATGACGAGTACGGCGATGCAGGCCGTCGCCTCGTCGTCGTCGTCGAGCACATCGGCGATCAACTATGGCGCCAACAGCGGTGCCGCCGCGGCCGCAGCTGGCGGTTCTGCCCAGCCTTCCACGTCGACGCTCGTGGCAGAGTACCTCAAGTCGCCCGACGACCTCACAAAGATACCGGCGCTACGCAAAAAGCTCCTCAAGGAGCAGTCGACGCTGGGGGCCAAGCTCAAGGCCGGCGCAAAGGATCAGCTCGAGTCGGTGCGCAGCGGCCTGCTCAAGCTGCAGGCCACCCGCAAGGACGTGGCGGCGGTCAGGGAGGCTTTCGGCCAGGTCGAGCTGCTATACAACGGCGGAAGCGGCTTCGGCAGCGGAGGCGGTCCGGACGATGTCCATTCCGGGGGCGGATCGTCCGGGCAGGGCCCAGGCGGAGCCAACAAGAGCTTCAAGATCATCAGCGAGGTGTCGCAGATCCACCGCAACTTTGTACAGACCGAGACGACGCTGGCCAAGCTCGACTCGCTGCCCGGCAAGATCGAGCTGCTGGCGGCCATGCTGTCCGAGAGCCAAGAGGATCCCATGGGCCCCGCGCCCAACCTGCTGCCCCTCCACTTCCACCTCTCGGAGCTCGAAAGGTTCCGCAACGAGACGTTTCAGATCGCCAGGAGCTGCTCGGCCGACGTGCGCAGCACCGTGGCCGAGTTCTTTGCGCCGCTCGACGGCCTCGTCTCGTCGTTTGAGCGCTACCTGCTCGACCTCGGCGAGCGGACGCTGGACCTGGTCCGCGAGGGGCGCGGCGGCGTCGTCGTCAAGCTCATCAAGATTGTCGAAAAGGAGAGCCGCGAGGACGAGAAGGCGGCCGCCATCCGCCTGGCCAAGAAGGCCAACCTCGAGGGCGCCGCCCGCTTCCGCTCCGTCGTGGCCAACGCGCGCGTCATCAAGCTCTACCGCCCCAAGGTCATGGACGCCATGGACCGGGCGACGGGCGAGCTGTTTGCCGAGTGCTGGTCGCGCTTCGGCGCCGACGGCGGCGGGCTCGAGTTCCTGCAGCACCTCGACTGGATGTACGACGACCTGAGGATGGTCAAGGACGAGGTGGTGCCGCTCTTCCCGCCCGACTACAACGTCTTCCGCGCGTTTGTCAAGAGCTACCACAAGCACCTCGGCGCGCTGCTGCGCGAAAAGATCCTGGCCACGGACCCCGAGGCGAGCGCGTTGCTCGAGCTCTACCAGTTCACGCAGGACTATATCAAGACGCTGACAAAGGAGCTCGGGGCGGACAAGGCGTGGCTGGAGCCGACGCTGCTGGCGGGAAAGGAGCAGGGCATCATCGACGACTACCTGGGCCTCATCACCAAGAAGATCGACGAGTGGACGTCGAACCTGATGTCGGACGAGGTGCGCGAGTTCGTCTCGAGACAGAATCCGCCCGACGAAGACAACGAGGGGCTGTACGGGCTGCAGGGGGCGGCGATCCTGTTCCAGATGGTCAACCAGCAGATCGACCTTGCGGCCGAGTCTGGTCAGGCGAGCGTGCTGGCCAAGGTGGTGGACCACGCCGCCAAGGCGATGCACTCGACGCAGTCGACGTGGCTGCGCGTGCTCGAGGCCGAGTTCCGCAAGCAGCGCGAGGCCAAGCACCCGGACGACGTGACGGGCGGGCTGGTCGAGTACGTGATCGCGCTGGCCAACGACGAGCTCAAGTCGGCCGACTATGCCGAGGCGCTGATTGCGCGGCTGGAGCCCATGGTCAGCACCAAGTACAAGGCGGGCATGCGCGAGGCCGTCGACAACGCGCTCAACGGCTTCCTCGACGTGAGCAAGCGGTGCACGCAGGTGCTCGTCGACCTCGTCTTTTCCGACCTCAAGCCGGCGCTCAAGGACCTGTTTGCCTTTCCCGCGTGGTACTCGGAGGGCACGACGACGACCGTCGTCGAGACGATCCGCGACTACACGTCCGACTACCACGACCGCCTCAACCCGAACCTCTTTGACGTGCTGTGCGACGACCTCATCGACCGCTTCCTCATCTCGTACATCGGCGCGCTGCGGCGGGTGGGCAGCGGCAAGCTCAAGATGCCCGCGGCCGCCGAGCGCATCAAGGCCGACTACGACGACGCCATCGCCATGTTTGCCAGCTTCAAGAAGGAGGACGAGGTGCGCGAAAAGTTCGAGGTGCTGCAGATGATGTGAGTTTGGCCCCTCTCCTGCAATCTGTGGCCGTGTCAGGACGGGTCGGTCCGCTGACGACAGGTCCTCTTTCTCCTCGCTCTACTTTGTCCTGCCGCTCCCTCTGCAAAACCGCCAGCACGTCGCTGGTGACATCGTCGTCGACGATGGTCTTCCTGCCGTACTGGACGTTTGCCAAGGCGCACGGTGCGCAGCTGGGCTTCCTCGAGGCGCTGGTCAAGGCGCGCGACGACCTGAAAAAGGACGACGTGAGCGCCATCATGGAGTCGGCGCGGCGCAAGGTCAAGACCGAAGGGCTGCAGGACCTGGTGCCCGAGGATGGCGTGCCCACCGTCATGAGCCGCGTCGCGCAGAGCTACGGCGGCGGCGGATTCGGCAGCAACCTGCTTGCCAACCTCGGCGTCTCTCGGGGTGACGGGTAGGCCGCTGTAGGTACTGCAGCAGTGGCGGAGGTCGTCGGCTCGTGTACGGTACTGTACAGTATGTACAATGCAAGCACACACGAAGCAAGGTGGCGGGTGCCGCTCGGAGCCATTCGACCCACCAGGCTGTCAGGCTGACGGCTGAGCTGGCACACGCTTGTGCAGAGCGTGAATGACCTGTGGCAGGCTCGAGGTGTGCAACGGCGCCGCGGTGCGCGAACACGTTCCCGACCGGGCCCTCCAATCAGCAGCGGCGGCGGGAGTGGTGGTCGAGGCAGGTCGGGTAGGTGGGTCCAGGGGGAAAGATGTTGATCTCGGTGTGATCTCGGTGGCGGCAAACGGCGACGGCAAGCTTAAGGCTAGGCAGGCTAGGCAGGGCAGGTAGGTCGAGCCAGGTCGTCTCAGATCCGGTCTCAGATACCGCTCGGTGTCTAGCACGGCGGGTAGAGTCTATAGAGTGCTCCTTGTTTCCGCTTGTTGGCGCCCCGGTTATATGGTCTGCAAGCGTGTCGGGATCAGCTCCTCTGGACGATTCGGGGCACTGACCGACACCGACGACCGGGGTGGTGGGTGCAGGGCAGGGCAGGGCAGGGCAGGGCAGGGCACGGGTGGCGGCATGAGATCGGTCGGATCACCCAGGAAGGGGG